ACCTGTAAGCTATACACGTGCAGAAGTGTTTGATAAAGCGAGGGCAGAGCAAAGCAACACAGATTGGCAAAGGAATGCGGCTAGATGTGTGTTTTTTTTCTCTGGAATTTCATGTGACCGGTGAAATATCGTGTTTTGTATGCTTGAGACCTTGGGAAGAAGATGATTATGTCTACTAGTAGAGTACCTATGCATACGAATATGTTGGGTGCGTTATCTGGTGTGTCAGCTATGACATCAAACGGAGTAGTAGAGGAAGGGATTTAAAGTAGGAGCGGTTCGGCAAAATTGTGTAGACCCAAACCGATCACCTGCGTGGATTGTCCACTCGAAATTTGTTTGTGGAAGGAAGCTGGCATGTTGAGGTTTACTCTGAGGCCAGAGCCAGAACATAAGGGGGAGCAAGGTGGGAAATTCTGAGGGGTGTCATAGGCGACGCGTATTATAGCGCAAGAGCCAGGTCCATCAGTTGCCTGATGATCGTAGTAATACGTGAAACTCAGAGTTGTAACAAAGCTTCCAAACTCTCTCTTGTGTACAAGGCTCTGCCCTACATGGGCATTGAGTACTCTTCGGACAGTGAAGCACACCACTTGACTACGTAATTTCTTAAGCCTAGTTCACATTCGACGGGGTGCGACGGGACGCGACGTAAGGATTGACGGGAAGCGACGGGACGGTCTGACGGCGTCCAATGTGGACACCAGGAACGGGAACGCAACCGTACTACCGTACAGATCGGGAAGCGACGGGAAGAGTTGGATCGATCCAACTTTTCATACCGTAGACGGGCGTAGACGGGGACGCAAGCGTACAAAACGGCTGCAATTCGAGTGTGAACAGGAGACGGCGTTGTGCGCCGACTGCTCCCGATTCGTACTTGGAAATTTTTTGCATTTTGAACGCTGTGCTTCCCATGATAACTCACACAATGGCTAGCACGACTTGAGTTGAATTTTAGCAAAATAAGATCTCATGTCACTTATTGTATTTAGGGATAGTTCAGTAGCGTGACAGACGAACTATTCTATCATTTCCTCGGGCTATTATTTGAATGCCACAACTTTGAGGGCTAATTTTTTGGTCTTCACGAAAAACTGATATTGTGAACTTGATTCCGCTTCTTTCAAGGAGAAATAATTGAAAAGAAGTCCCGAAAAACGAGAAATTAGGTCCAAAAGT